TTTTCTGGTTGTAATTTGATAACGGTTGTGATTTTTTCTCCAGTTTTGGATTTTCCACGTTAATCTCTTGTGTTCTTGTTGTCTTCTTCTTTTTTCTTTATGTTTTATTTTTTCCCAACAATTGGTATCAGAGCTTTTGATCCGATATGGGGATAAGTGTTCTTAGCATGCTCTGTGGTTGCAGATTTGTCTGATCGTCAACATCAAAAAAGAATGGTGGGGTGTGAAAGAGTTATTGAGTTGCAGTCATAAGTTCTGCTATGCAGTTTGGTCTAGAGAAAATTGATGGGAGAATTGTTCTTGACTTGTGAAATGTTCAAGTCAAAGATGTGTTGATACAATCAAGTTTACACAAGGTATGAGATTATATCGGTGATTGAGAGCTTCCAACCAACATGAAAGTTGCACCATAAATTTTAAACCTGATTTTTGACATGTGAAATTTTTTGAAGTGGTTTAACTTCAAATAAAATATACTCTTCTTTAAGTAAATTATGATAGTTTTTAAAACTATATTTATCGGTGAAGACCAGGATCGGCCCTATGGCAGAGTAAGCAAACCCACAGCCCAAGACCTCAAAAGTTTAGGGGCTCATATTGTAGATAGATTGTTTTAAAATTATAAAATATATTATGGAAATGTTGTGACTATTCTAAATTTTGATCATTAGCATAATGTAGTTGAGCGGAAAAGAATTTATTTAGCTTTCCAAAGATAGTGTATTCAAGTCCTGTCTCTAGTTTTTTCTAATTAATTGTTTCAAAATTTTATGTCTCCATTTTTTTTCCAATTAATTATTTCAATCGACCAATTAAATGTCTTGTACCTTATCCACCATTCCACGCCTTTTACTTACCATTTATAATATTTTATTTTATTTTTTATCATTTAAATTTTATTTATGCTACTATATAACTATAGTAGAATTTTAAGTATTCTTTTAGAAATATACTAAAAAATATATATTAATATATGTTTTGTACTAAAAATATTTGTACATGTAAGTGAGTATTATGCTTAAATATTTGAAATCCATTAATTTGAAACATATAAAATAATTCTTAAATTTCATAATTATACTTAATAATATAAATTTATGGTATGAAATTAAATAAAGAAATGGACAATATAATTTTAAATTGTGTAATTATAATGAAGAAATATACCATACTTTTAAATTTCTATAAATCACAATACATGTTTTTAAAATGAAAGAAAATGAAAGAAAAGATATGGTTTGTACTATATATATTTTGGAAGAAATTTGAATTAGTTGTTCAATTAATGTGTTTTTTATTTTAAAATAAATTTATTAATATAATTATTAGGAATAATCATGTAATTGAGGAGGTGTAAATAGAGTATTTTATGTTTTCTATTAGATAAATTCTTATAATTAAAAACAGTATACTTTTTTCCTCTTAAGTTTAATTAGTAATGTTTATATAAGTTTATTAGTAATGTTTATATAGTGCATAACTTAAAATATTTAATATTGTCATTATTAATTTTTATAAAAAAATTTAAATCTCTTTTATTATAATTTTTGTTATATATTTTATTTGATTTTTGAATGGTGTATGTGATAGTCTTTTAATTTAACAAAATAACATTATTATTATTTTTTAAAATATTATTAAAAAAAAGATATGCATATGAGTTCTATGAAAATCTTGAATGATAATGAAAAAACTATTAAAATTAAATTAATTATTTAAGATGTGATAATTGTGTTTAATTATAATTAGTTTTTATGAGGATAGATGTTAATAAAGTTGTTGAAATATATTTTTGGTATAGAAGTTAAAATGATAAAGAGTAATTATGCAATTTTGTTTTTAGATTAAATTCTAACAGTAACATGAAATTTTAATTGATGTGGCAATATAGAATTATATGGCATATGATATGTGGTGACATAGTGTCTAGTTTTAAATTTAATATATTATAATTATAATAGATAATTAATATAAAAAAATCCGTGTTATCGCACATGTCCCGTCTAGATTCACGTTACATGTCTATTAGATAGTTATTTATAAAATATGAATTAATTTTTCAATTGAGTGACATGCACATAGTTACAAATATATGCTAATAATATGCACCAATTTTTAAATATTGATTCGTACTTATAATAAATTGTATAATCGATTCTCTAACTTTAATTATATAAAATAATAGTAAAAAAAATATTTAAAAGATAGATATTAAAAGAAACAATCTACTGCTGTTATATCGTAGATACCATCACATCTACCCATTAATATAGTAAATTAATATTAAAAAAATAAAAAATTTAAAAGATAGTGTTTAATAAACTATTTATTAATTATTTAAAATTAATAAATTTTTACGGCAACTATTTATTATTATACATCTATAGTCGAGAGAATATCAACCATTTCCTTTTATACAATATATTGTTATATTATTAAAATAATAATTGAATGGAAGGGAATAGATATTTTGAGAGAGGAGGAAGAAGATATATTTGAGTCCCTAAATGCTCCAACAAAAAAGAAAACAATGAATCTTGTATAATCTATGAATTATACGATATATAACTTCCAAAGCAGCAATGCATAGGGATCACATAATCGAGGCACTAAACACATAACTTAAGAAATTCAAATTTCCATTCAAAATACTAAGTTTGTTCTATTCAGTCCTACATTATTGGAGAACTTGTAAGCATTTGAATGGCAAATGTAACAAATCAGAATGTAAATAAGAACTGCGTGAAAGTAAAACTAATTTTAACAATGAACCTGAAACACCTCTAGCTTTTGCATAGTAACAGAAAACTGGAAAGTAAGCAAAAATAAACAATCAAAAAACAAACAGAAAACCGAATAGTAAAATAAAGCATAATACAAAAATAAATATCTGATAATCAAACATTTAACCAATTGTGTTAACAATACAAAACACTCAAACATCAAATGTTGTACTCAGTAGAGAAAATTGATAACAAAATTTGAAAAATGTATCAGGAAGTAATGTCTAAGTAGCAGTCTTCCTTAGCTTAGCAAGTTCTTGCCTAACACTGGCAGCCCTCTGTACAAAATCAAAATCATTTCATCAGAATCAGACCAACACCACCAACCAACATTGACAACATAGAATCAAACCCTTATACCTCAAACTAACTAAAATGTTTAAAACATAAAACGCAGAAACTAAAAAGATACCTTAATCTTTGCCAATATAATCTTGAACCTGTCAAAATCATTCAGGGCAGCCCTCATCTTCCTAACAATGAGTTTCCTTCCCCATGAATTCTTCTTCCCCTTGTTCTTAACATCTATCCAACAAAAAGTTAAAACCAAATCAGTTACAAACTGTTGGTGATTTTAGTATCACCAATGTATTTTAGTAGTAATGTGATTTCCTAAAGCCGGTGCAATTATGCATTAAGTTCGGAAACGAGTTAGGGAAGTGCGGAGTGCACGCTCGTCGAGTCAATGTATAATTGAATATGAATAATTGAAACGGAGTTCCAAGGGGCGAAGCCCCTGGTGGGGTACGGGGCAGCGCCCCGTTGGGGTTCCAAGGGGCGAAGCCGGGGTGCGGGGCAGCGCCCCGTTGGGGTCCAAGGGGCGGAGCCCCTGGCTGGGACAGGTGTGTCTTTTCGGTTTCAGTTATTGATCTCCTATATAAGGAGTCATTTGGCCTCGGTTTCAGCAACGGAAAAACATCACTTTCTCTCTATATTTGTAATCAGTTTCTTTTGCCAGAAAAAGATTGTTCTTCGAGAATTATTCCCACAAAGATTTCGTGAACCCAGGCAAGAATAGGGTCGAAATACTTTGTTCGAAAAGTGTACGAACACGATTATTCGAAGTTATCCAAGATTATCATACCCAAATCTCTAACACAAACATCTCAAATTTCAAAATGAAGAAGTATTAAAATAGTGAAACCTGGTGATCACTTCTTGTGATAGAAGAAAAATCACAAACTTTTATGGATCATATTACTCAAATGAAATCATTTTCTTTAAATCAATAGCATATGTTCGAATTGAATTGAAATTGTTCTTGAAAATGATACCTATCAATCGGGCCGATAACATAATTTCAGTCCAAATAACAACCTGACAAACTTAGACAGTAATCATAATTTCAATGGTCTTTCAGTATTGTTATATGAGAAATGCTAATTATCAAATCGGCAGTAGCAGTAGCAGCTTCATGTTGCAATTTGTTTATCAAAGATTCAAGTTCGTGCGTCGATGATGCACGAGTTATATGTTGGAATAATATAGTAAGTGTGAGTAAGTGGAGAAATAGTCTCACATTAGATAGGAATGTGGAGACTTAAATATATATAAGTGGAAGAATCCACTCATGTATTCTTATTTATGATACTAAAGTGATACACGAGTACTTTCCAAAAAAAAAAAGGTTTTCACCTTATTAACAAAGAATAAATTTTATTATTTTTCAAAAAACGTATTCTTACCTTATATATTTTAACTTGTATCTATTGTTTCATTTCTCATTTTCCTCTGTTTGTAATAAATAGCTAAACTTTTGAAAAGTAATAGTACTTCTTTAAATCTTAAAAATAAAAATAGAACAAAAGATTTTTAAAATCAGACACTTAAAATGGAATAGATGAAGTATAATGTGACAAAAAAAATTACCATTATACTTTTCATCATAAAGATCAATGCTAAAAGACATAGTTTAATACCAGCCAATTAGAAGTCTTATTTTACTACATTTTAATTGTGACAAATATTTATAAGGTCCTATTTAAATAGGATGTAATCATGAAAAATTAGAAGTCCTGCACACCCCAAAAACGACCCTGCCTAATACATAAGTTTTCTGTGAAAATAAACAACTCTCAATCTATGAAATTTTTGTTTATTAAATAAGTCAATAAACTAAAATATCACCCTGTCAAATAAATGTTGAAACCATAAATAATCTAAGTTTCTCCAAGAAATGAAGAAAAACCATCTCTCTAATGTAAATACAATAAAATACTAAGCCAAGAGAATCATAGAGAAAGCGATAAACAACAAAACAGGAAATGAAGGCATAGAAGAAGATGCTGAAGAAGGAACAATCTGAATGAGGAAATTGCAAGTAGGTGTTGAAATATTCTCTGTAGTAATCTTAGCTAAGCCTTGAAAATTGCAAGCTTGACGATCCTGATTCTGCACTTGATAGTACATGTTGAATGCATAAGAAGCATTTCCATTAGCATCAAGGTTGTTGCAAGAAGATCCATATCCGAGTGCGGTGCAATCTCCGTAAGTGCAAGCGTAATTGATATTGTCATTAAGTTTGCTGAGATCTTTAGCATTGGGATTAAACACGCACCATGATTGATCGAGATACTTCACGTTTTGTGCACCGACTAGAAGCTTGTTTTGACCTTGGCCTGAAAGATCCATTGTAAACTTTGGCTGTCCATCGTATCGGAATATTCCCCAGTGTCTCTCAAAGTTCCCTGGGGCAATGCTCTTTGCGTCTTCGTCGATGAGTCCGAAGAGATAAACTTCGATGAATCCGGGACGGCGAGGGGTTCCTTTGTTTGCTGCGACCCTTGAAAGGAGGCCATTGTAGAATCTTATTGCATTTCCGGTGGTGGCACTCTTGTCGCCTTCTGTAGGCCATCCTACTTCTCCTACCAAAATTGGTGTGTCGCCAAAACCGACTGATTTGAGAGCAGAAACCAATGTATCGAAATTTGCGTCGAAGACATTGGTGTATAAGATTCCGTTATCGTTTATCGGTTTGTCTACACCGTCAAAAAAGGCGTAGTTGAAAGGGAAATCGTCATTTCCGTAAAGACTTAAGAAGGGGTAAATGTTGACGGTAAATGGTGCAGCATTCTTGTTGAGAAATTCTACCATCTGAGTCATGAGACCATTGATATCAGGCCTAAATACTCCTGCAGATGGAAGAGGATTGTCCACCGGAGACTCATAAACATCGGCATTTAAAGGCACAGTAGCCTTTACAGCGTTTCCAAGACCGGCTTCATTAATGGCATTTTGAATGTTCTGCAGTGCAGGTAGTGTGATGTTCAAGAATGAATTGTTGTAGGATTTCAAAAATGGCTCATTCCCAACTGCTACATATCTGTGGGGAAAAATATAGACAGAAAGCACAAATTGACATTAAAATCAATCAAAATTCGGCAAGGAAGTAAAAAATACATTTCATTGATAGTACTGATGCTTCCAAATAACGTATTTGCGACGCGTTACAATGCAGTCATTTGAGAGTTTGATCAATCCAATGACAAAAACAAGACCAACAAACGTACCAGAGTATTCCCTAAAATATTTTGCAAGTTTGCTTAATAACTAACAGACAAAATTAGCATTTAAAGAGAAGTTGAAGCAATCAATATTGAATATCTCATTCATCAAAGCTTAAGATATGGTGTTTAATAATAAGAAGCAGATTTTCCGTCATAATGTTCAATAAATGTTACAAAATCTAGTGTTGTTGGATTGCGGCTATAGCACTATATAGCATAACGTTATTTTCTATGATCTGCTATCGACAACACTTAGGAAAACATCAACAAAATTTATACAAGCACCAAACTTACTCTAATATTGTTAGAACAGACATCTTATTAACCACAGAAGCAACAGAATACACACAATATCTAATTGCCTTATTATTACATCTTAATACAAATTTCTTGTTATCTTAACTCTCAATCAATTACTTATTTAGTTACCATCTATAAAGCAGAGACACTGGAAACACCACACACACACGCGCATGTCTGACACCAATAATATTTTTTAAAAATAAATACATTAAACATAATCACAAGTGTCGGTGTCGGTTTCAGACACCGACACTGACCCAAAGACACATTTTTTCAGAAGTGTTAGTGCTATAGAATCTAATATTTCCTTCGAAGAATATAACATAGACACAAACAAAATGGACAGAATCTGATACCATTCCTCTTCCTATAAGGATGCAATCACCTCCTAGAATGGTAAAACTGATTCTCAGAACAAACATCTTTAACCTCAGCACAGGAAAAAAGTTACTAAAAGGACTCAAACAAAAGCCAGAATACCAATAAAAGAATCTAATTCTGAGAGAATCCCATTACATAAAGCTTCCTTGATTAAAACAGGAACAACTTCCGAGTTCACTTTTAACATATTCTTTGCACACTTTACCTTGTCTGGTCCCAAAACTCATCATCAAATAAAACACATTCTCATTACTATGAATAAACAAACACTAACCATGATTTCCCTAGGGTAAGGATCAAAACTAACAAACCAAAACACAGATCAATACTCAAAAACATTAAGAATTAAATCAATTAAAATTAAACTCACTTGATCTTAACACCACCATCGAAGTTATACCGAGTAACATTCTTCCTAACCCATTGTTGAGCCCGTTTATACTCATTCATCTCAGCAAGCTGATTATTAGGAATCGCAACCATCACTTCAATCCCACTCCCAGCCAAAGCACTCATTGTAGTATCATCCGCATCAAAAAGCTTAACTTTCTGAATCCCATTATCCTTCAACATCTGAACAACCGTTTCCGGAGGCAACTTGTGAGTTGCTTGTGTTCCCCAGTTCACACCAAGCCCTTCCACATACAAACCCAACAACCCCACCATTAACAACATTATCAAAATCGAACCTTTTTCCATTGCGAGATCAAAGAAAACTCTGTAAGGTAAAGAACAAGAACAAAAATGTAAACTTTTTCTTGTTTTTGGTTGTATAGAGAGAGAGAGAGAAAGGAACGGTTTTTGGAAGTGGAGGCTTCAAGAATACGCGGAAATATAGCAAATTTTTCACCTTCCACGAACCCACGATGAATAAGACGGTGAAAATATATAAATAAATATAAAAAATAAATTAAAAAAACTTTTTTGTTGCTCTGTAATTGGTGGTTTGTTTGAGTCAGAGAATGTGATGCGGGAACCGAAACAAGAACAAATTTTCTCTCGTGTTGTGGAAGGAAAAGAGAGGGAAAGAACTTAGGAGTGGAAATCTGAGAGAAAATGAAAGGGAAAAGAGAGAAGTAATAAATAAACACTTTTTTTTATTTTATTTTTATTTTTATTTGTGAAGAGGGTTTCAGATAAGTTACAACGGCTACAACAAAGAAAACTCCAAAACGCGGATTTTTAACCTAAATAATCTATTTTTTTCAAATTAATTTTCTATGTTATACTAGTTTTTTATATGTCCTACTTTTTTTTTAATGTAGTTGATGTCGGTATCCCTCTTGGATGATTTTAGCACCCAATTCATTTGGCATCTCTCTCTTTTTTTAATAATTTTTTCATTTAATATAAATAATAACATAAATAAATAAATAATTGTTAAAATTAAGAATATTAATTTTTAAATTAATTCACATACAAAAGTTTTCAACTAAAATTTAAAAATATTACATAATAAATGTTACAAGACAATGATCTTTGCTTTATAGTGCCGCCACTCAATTTCAAAGAAATCTTATTTTTTTTATGGATTAATATTTATTTTATCTTTTTTTTTTATTTGAGACAAATGTAGAAAATAATTTTGTAAAAAAAAAAAATACAGATTTCATCTTTATCATTTGAAGATTCCTTTCAAAAAATTTACTCATAAAATTTTACAAAAATCATCAATTTTGACAGGATTTCTTTTAAAAATCACATATTTGATAGAGAGTTTTCAAAAATTGTAAATTTGACAGGGTTTTTCAAAAATCTCTAATTTGACTGGGATTTTTTAAAAATCTCCAATTTGATAAACAGTAAATTGTATGAAATTTGCTAAGTTTTTTGAGAGGGTAAAATAGATAAATCTTTAAATAGTAAAGACGGAATTCGAATATTTTACAATTTTCTTTTAAATTCGTTTCAAATGACCAGGGATAAAATGAATATTAATTTTTTTTATATATGCGGTTTGTCGTTTGATTTGGTGTACGTGTGAAGTCAATATCACACTCATCATTAACCACACTTATTTTTCTCTTATAATTTTTCTGATTCTTAAACATGTGGTAATGCATTGGAGTATTATTATAAGAATAAAGATTCACTAAGCATTTGCATAGAGGTATTACTAGAATTTAAAATTGTTGGAGTCATGCTTAAATCATTGGTCTAAACATTTCGATGATGAGTTCAAAAAAGTAAGAAGACTAGAAATTTATAGCATATACATAACATTAATGGATGACAATCTTGATGGTACTTAACTATATGACTAGCAACGTGTTGAGAATAATTTAGATGTAACTTGTATGTTTAATACAGGAGAATAATGTTTGACTAATTTGCTTGTTGTGTGTAAAAGTTATCTCAAAAGTATTTTTGATTATATATCAGTTGTAAGTTTGATTTTATGTTGCTTTTTAGTCGATGTAAGTTTGATTATATGTTTATGTGATATTTTGTTGTAATTGAATGTTTTAATTAATATATATATATTTCGTCTTTCATGTAAAAAAATAAATGACATTTGAGTAATAGATAAATTTATTAACATATGACAAGTACCAAAAATACGTATGGTTCATTAGAATTGGACAATATTTTTGAGTATGATGAAATATTTTACATCTTATTTCAAGTTAATCAGTAATGTCCATTTTTTCTAATACAAATATTTTTTGGGCGACCTTTCTTATTCCTATGCACGTTGTCATTATGGAAAATTGTATTCCATTGATAAATAGGTCCATAATAGAAATAACAAGAAAGTTTCATGTTCTTTATTTCAGTCATGTGTTTAGAGCATCCACTGTCAAAGTACCAGCCTTCCCTTGCAGAGACTCTCAGGGAAGTGTGGGCTATCAGGGCAGTAGCCTTTTTCTTCCATTGAGGAGTATGTGGTACCCTTTTTGACTTAGGTTTAACACCTGAGTTTTGATTAGGGTATCCATGCAATTTGAAGCAGAAAGGCTTTATGTGGCCATACCTCCCACAATGATGACATCTCCATCTTTGGTACTTTTTCTTCATATATCTCTGTTTCTGATGTTGAGAGTTGTGTTGAGACATCTGCTTTGACATTTGTTTAACAGGTCTAATCTTCTTGTCTGTAACAGATTTCTTAGCTTCCACAAATCCAAGTCCAGATTTGTTACCCACATTTTGTCCAACCTGAAGGATCTCTTCCAATTTTTCTGTTCCATTAGTCAGCATCTTGACAGATTTGGTCATTTGATTCAGTTGTGAGTTCAGCAATTGAACTTCCCCTTCTAGATGACTTATAGTTTCAAGGTTTGCCCTTTTTTCAGCCTCCAGCTTTATGATGAGTTTTGATTGTTTCTCATTCTGCACACAGACTTCAGTACTTCTGATACATAATTTCTTGTAAGTATCAGCCAGTTCTTCAAATGTCACTTCTTCATCACTAGTGTCACTTTCAGAGGTACAAACACCAGTTAGAGCAGTAACTAGTTTGGCAGATTCTTTTTCAGAATTACTTTCTGAATCACAGTCAGACCAGGTAACAGTCATTCCTTTCTTTTGTTTCTTAAGAAAGGTAGGACATTCAGCTCGAATATGCCCATATCCTTCACAGCCATGGCATTGAATTCCTCTGCCTTGATTTCCCTTCTCTTCTGACCTTGGTCTTCTGCTGGAACTGTCAATGTCAGAGGGAATGTTATGAACATTAGACCTTGACTTTGGATCTATTCTTTTGATGAGTTTGTTGAACTGTCTTCCAAGCATGGCTATAGCTTCTGAAATATTTTCTTCTTCTTCCTTCTTGTTTTCAACATCAGTGTTGGATACAAGTGCTATGCTCTTGTTCTTCTTGTCACCATTATCAGTGATCCCCATCTCAAAAGTCTGAAGAGACCCAATAAGTTCATCCACTTTCAACTTGCTGATGTCCTGGGCTTCTTCTATGGCAGTTACCTTCATTGCAAATCTTTTAGGCAAGGATCTGAGAATCTTTCTCACCAATTTTTATTCTGACATCTTTTCTCCCAGTGCTCCTGAGGTGTTGGCAATCTCCAAGATGTTCATGTGAAACTCATGAATGGTTTCATCTTCCATCATTTTTAGATTCTCAAACTTGGTAGTCAACATCTGAAGCCTTGACATTTTTACTTTGAAAGTGCCCTCATGAGTAGTTTTGAGAGTGTCCCAAACTTCCTTGGCCAGTTCATATTGATGTACTAGTCTGAAAATGTTTCTATCAATTCCATTGAACAAGGCATTTAAAGCTTTGGAATTTCCCAGGGCTAACTCATCTTCTTCTTTACTCCAATCTTCCTCAGGCTTCAGACTGATTGTCCCATCTTTCTCAGTTATGGTGGGATGGTTCCATCCTTTGTCAGCAGCTCTCCAAGCCTTTTTGTCCAGAGATTTTAAGAAGGCAATCATACGAGGTTTCGAGTAGTCATAATTTGTTCCATCCAGAATGGGTGGTCTATTTCCAAAAACTCCTTCTTTGTCCATAGTGCCAGAAAGTGATATCCCTAGATCTCACCCAGTAATACAGGCAGGGTGTCTGCTCTGATGCCAATTGAAATTCTGGCTGCAGATACTCAATGTCACATTCAATGTTATGACACCGTATCTGACTTTCTATAAGACAGTAAATACAAAAAAGCAGTAAAGAACACAGTCAATTGTTTACCCAGTTCAGTGTGCAACAACACCTACTCTGGGGGCTACCAAGCCAGGGAGGAAATCCACTATAAGAGATATTAATTCAGGAATAAACCAACCAGTTTATCTCCTTCACTTAAGACCTACCCAATGCAACTTCAATCTAAGTACAACTTAAACCTGAGTTCCTACTCACTCCCCCTCAATCACAGCAGTGATACTTAAAACAGTTTGACTAATGAATTGATGAAGACACTCTTCAAAACATACACTTGATTATGCTTCACAGCTTTTCAATCAAGCAACACAAACACTCTTGCTTCACAGCTTTGAGTGATACACAAATCTAACTTGACTTTGCTTCAAAGCTTTAGTCAAGAGACACAAGAAAAACACTCTTGCTTCAAAGCTTTGAGTGGTACACAACCCTTACAATTAAAACCTATTCCAAGTCACTTATCACAATGATACTTGCTTGGATTACAATAGTTAAAACTATACATCTTCTAAATGATCTTCTGTCAAAAAAGGGATTGATTCCAAAACACCAGCTCTGTTGAATATATAGCAGCTGCATCTTCAGTTAGGGTTTCCACAAAAAGCTAGGGTTAATTCCGTTTGACCTTAAGACTAGGTCACAGGACTTTATCAACCAGGTTAGGGTTGAGCTAGGTTAACCCCAAGTCCATGAGATTTTCTGTTCTGGAAAGACTGAGTCGTTTTCCTGAAAAAACTCAGAATTACCCAAACTGCATAACTGTTAGTTCAGAACAGGATGTCTTAACATTTGTTATGACATTTGAAATCCTGTTTACTGATTTTGGTAAATGTGATCTTTTTGCAAAATACTCAGATACACACTTATAAACAGCAGCACCTGTATGACAATATTTTTCTGCAAAGGTACCTAATACATCAGTACCTAATAAACTAGAATGTTATGACATCAGTCATGACATTCACACACCTGGTTTTACCAAAAATGCATGCCAACAACTAAACAACTACAAACTCCCCCTTTGGCAGATTTTTGGCTAAAGCCCCTAAGCAATTAGAGATAGATAGCAGCAGAATAA